AAAAAAAAAAAATTGAAAACTTAAAATATTACTGAGAAACAAATTAACAAACAGAACCTTAACTGTTTTTAAGTGTAAAGTTCAATAGTGTTAAGTATTTTCATCTTATGAAAAAGATCTCCAGAACTTTTTTATTAAGCAAAACTGAAACTCTGTACCTATTAAACAATTCTCTTTCCTCAGTCCCTCTTCCCCCAGCCCATGGTAACCACTATGTTACTGTTTCTATGAATTTGACTTTAGACACCTCAGTGGAATTGAGGAATTGTACAGTATCTGGAATACAATCTGGATACAGTACAAGTGGAATTGTACAGTATCTGCCTTTTTAAAAGATTTATTTTTTAGGGACAGAGTCTTGTTCTGTCCCCCAGGCCAGAGTGCAGTGGTGTCATCACAGCTCATTGAAGCCTCAGACTTCTGGGCCCAAATGATCCTCCTCTGTCAGCCTTCTGAATAGCTGGGACTACAAGTGTGTCACTGTGCCTGGCTAATCTTTTCACTTTTTGTAGATGGGCGTTAGGCGCTCATGCAAGTCTCACTCTGTTGCTGAGGCTGGTCTCAAATTCCTGGCCTCAAGTACTTTTTCTGCTTCAGCTTCCCACAGTTCTGGGATTATAGGACGAGCCACTACACCTGGCCTTCTGTACTTGTCTTCTATTGCACTTAGCATAATGTCCTCAAAGTTCATCCATGTCGTAGTATGTGAGAGCATTTTCTTCTTTTATAAAGCTGAATACTATTCCACTGTATGAGGGCATCACATTTTGTTTCTCCATTCTTCTGTTGATGGGCATTTGGGTTGCTTCCACTTCTTGGCTTTGTGAATAGTCCTGCACTGAACATGGGTGTGCAAATACCTCTTCAAGATCCTACTTCCAGTTTGGGGAGTATGAGGGGGACCGTCATATCATAGTTCTATTTTTAACTTTTTGAGAAACCAACATACTCTTTTCCATAGTAATTACATCATTTTATAATCCCACCAGCAGCATGCAAGAGTTCCAATTTCAAAGTGTTGTGTTTTTATCTTGCATCTGTTTGATGACTAGTGACACTGAGTACTTGTTCACGTTTCTTGTTCATTTAGATCTCCATTTTTATGTGTCTGTTCTGGTCCTCTGTGAATTTTCCCAATAGCTTGTCTGGATGACTTCCTTATACATTCTAGATCTGAGCTCTTTATTGGTTATATTTGTTCCAAATATCTTCTCCTACTCTATGATTTCCTGACTTGGGATCACCAGGCTTTCCATTGGCCATGTGGGGAGGGCCCAGAAGGCTGGGTGGTCCAACGGGACTCCCATCCTCCTCATCTCCAGTCCCTTCCCTCTCCGGTAACAGGAGCTGAAGCAGCGGCAGTAAGTGGTACTGATTCTGCTTCTTTAGTTTCGGCCTTATGGCTGCAGCAATGGCTGCAGCAGGAATTGGAGGAAAGTCTTCTTTTCTTTTTTATTGTTTGGAATTCACTGAGGGTACAAAAATTAGGTTAACACTGATTTCATTTGTTAGGTAAAGTCCCTCTTGTAATTGTGTCTCACCCCCAAGAGGTGTGCCATACACTGTGATCTCCCATCCTCCCCTTCTCCTCTCTCCCCGATCCCTCATTCTCTACCCCCCTTGTATTAGCTCATTACTGCCTTCATATTAGAACTGAGTGCATTGGATTCTTGCTTCTCCATTCTTGTGATGCTTTGCTAAGAAGAATTTGTTCCACTTCCATCCAGGTTAATACAAAAGATGTAAAGTCTCCATCTTTTTTGATGGCTAAATAGTATTCCATGGTATATATATACACCACAGCTTGTTAATCCATTCCTGGGTTGGTGGGTATTTAAGCTGTTTACACATTTTGGTGCTTGTAAATTCAGCTGTGATAAATAGTCTAATGTCTTTATGATAAATGGTTTTTTTTCTTCTGGGTAGATGCCCAGTAAGGGATTACAGGATCAAATGGAAGGTCTAATTTGAGTTCTTTGAGGATTCTCTATACTTCCTTCCATAACGGTTATATTAGTTTGCAGTCCCACTAGCGTGAAAATGCACTTCTTTATACCTGAAACCTCTACATTAGAACTGCATCATACCAGAATACACATCACACATTCCCTTCGCTGTCAGAGTGATGAAGTCATCACACATCATCTAGTTTCTGAACTGACCCTCAGTGAGAGGGATAAAGGCAAATAATGCTTAGCTTTACTATGACAGCCGTTCTGAACATGAAGGTTCCCTGGGGCTCCCTGAATCCTCAGGCGATGCTTGAAGGATTGCTCACTGTTCTAGATGTTTGAACCCACTATCAAGGTGCTCTTTTTTTTTTTTTAAATTAAATCATAGCTGTGTACATTAATACAGTCATGGGGTACAGTGTGCTAGTTTTATATACAATTTGAAATATTTTCATCAAACTGGTTAACATA